AGTTTAGTTCCCTTATTGCCTATTATAATTCCTTTGATTTCATTTTCTTCTCTTCTTGCTGTAACTAAAATTTCTAGTACAATATTAAATAATAGAAGTGATAATGGGCATCCTTGATTCACCTTGGATCTTATTGGGAAGGCTTCAACTTATCCCCATTCCAGATAATGCCTCTTGATGGTTTTAGATAAATATCGCTTATCATTTTAAGGCAATCTCCATTTACTCCTATGCTCTCTAGTGTTTTTAATAGGAATGTGTGCTTTATTTTGTAAAAGGCTTTTCTGCATCTGTTGAGATAATCATATGGTTTCTGTTTGTTTTCTTGTTGATATGGTCAATTGTGCTTATACTTTTCCTCATATTTAGCCAGTTGTACATTCGTGTTATAAATACCACCTGGTCATAGTGTATAATCCTTGTGATACATTCCTGCTATCTCTTTGCTAGTATCTTATTTAAATTATTTTGCATCAATATTTATTAGGGAAATTGGTCTATAATTATTTTTCTCTGTTTTGACTCTGTTTAGGTATCAGCACCATATTTGTGTCATAAAAGGCAGTTGGTAGGACTCTTTCCCCTTTTTTTTCCAAAATACTTTATATAAAATAGGGATTAATTGTTCTTTAAATGTTTAGTATAATTTGCTTGTGAATCCATGTGGTTCTGGGGAATTTTTCTTAGGAAGTTCATTGATGGCTTCTTCATTTTCCTTCTCTCATATTGGGTTATTTAAGCATTTTATTTCTTTTGTTAATATGGGTAATTTATAGTTTTGTGTGGGTAATTTATGTTTTTGTAGATATTCATCCATTTCACTTACATTGTCAAATTTATTGGTGTATAATTGGGCAAAATTGCTCCCAACAATTGCCTTAATTTCCCCTTTATTACTGGTGAATTCATCCCTTTCACTTTTGATACTAGTAATTTGGTTTTCCTCTTTCCTTTTTTTACATAAAAATCAACCTGTATTTTACATATTTGTTGGCTTTTTCATAAAACCAGTTTCTAATTTTATTTATTAGTTCAGTGGTTGTCTTAGTTTCATTTCTATTAATGTCTCCTTTGATTTTCAAGATTTCCAATTTAGTGTTTAATTGGGGATTTTTAATTTGTTCTTTTTCTAGTTTTTTTGTTAGTTTGTTGCATGTCCAATTCACTGATCTTCTGTTTCTATATTTTATTGATATGTGCAATTAGAGATATAAATTTTCCTTAACTAGCACATTGGCTGCATCCCCAAAATTTTGGTATGTTCTCTCATTGCTGTAATTTTAATGAAATTACCAATTGGTTCTATGATTTTTTGACCCGCTTTTTTTAGGATTAGATGATTTCATTTCCAATTAATTTTTGATGTCTCTTTCCTTTGCACATTATTGAATGTAATTTCTATTGCACTATGATCTGAACAAGACGTGTTTACTGTTTCTGCTTTTCTGGCATTTGGCTGAAGGTTTTTATGTCCTAAGACATTGTCAACTTTAGTATAGATGCCATGAACTGTTGAGTAAGAAGTATAATCCTTTACATTCCCATTTAATTTTGTCTAAAGATATATCATATCTAACATTATCAGAGTTTTGTTCATCTAGCATAGTTTTATTATCAATTTCTTCCTGTTACTCTTTGAACTTCTTCACAAATTTAGATGATACACCAATTGATGCACGTATGCTTAATATTGATATGATTTTGTTGTCTATGGTACTGTTCAACAGGATTTGATTTCCTTCTCCATCTCTTTTAATTGGATCTGTTTCTGCTTTGGCTCAAATCGTGATTTCTACTCCTGCTTTCTTCCCTTCAGCTGATGCATAATAAATTCTCCTCTAGCCCCTTACTTTTACCTTGTGTGTACCTCAGCCCCAAATGTCTTTCTTAGAAACAATATATTGCAGGATTCTGGTTTTAGAGCAAGGGGACCTCCAAGAATTGTCAGAGAGTACCACTATGGGAAAGGAGAAAGACAAATAGCTTTTTAACACGTCGTGTAGATTAAGATATTTGCCAACGCTGATACACTAGTTAAGCTAGTGTAACCCACACTAAAGTCACGACTTTAATTTCTAACTTCTTCAACCAGTTATACAAGGCCTTCAATTTCTAATACTATCAAAATTCTATCTAACACCCCTAAAGAGTGGTTAATGAAATCATTTAACCAAAGCCTCAGGGCTTTGCTGCTTCTGCCTATCACCCAATAACTGCAATCCCAGGATGTGTTTTTACATTCCTTATTGTTTTTCCATATCCAGAAATACCATGTGACCTCCTTCAGGATACAACCCAAAAAGGGTGTTAGGTGTATTGACTAAAGGATGGGTGAGACTTAGTGGAAAAAGAAAAATAAGCCAGTCTGACAATTTGCAACAATTTGAGAAACAACCATAGTATAACTAATCTCTTAAATGGGCCTAAGTGTAGTTAGAAACCATATAGTTGGATCAGAATATACAAAGCAAAATGGCAGAAATTTCTGGTAGTAAATGAAGTACTGGGAGTCAAGATGGTAGAGTGAGAGTTACCATTTTTACTCAACTCATGTGACACACTTTCTTCACAACAACTGAAAAATGCAATCCAACAATTTCTTGTTGGGAAAGCTGAGAACAAGTCATAGTAAGTCATATTTCCAGTCCAGGGCAGCTCAGCAAGATGGACAGTGAGGTCTATAGATACTGGGGTTGTCCAGGAGCACAATGTTGAAGTGGCTGAGGCAGTATCCACAGCAACAGCAACAGTGGGGAGCCTTCTAGCATCCAGGGATGGTAAGGTGACTAGGACTGAACCAAGGCTAGAAGCAAAAAGAAATCCCAGAATACACCTGAACCAACACTGTGAACCAGAACAGGTTCCAGCAGGTAGCTCTGTTGGTCCTCCATTACCTAGTTTCAGGTCACCATTCCAGGGCAGGGAGGAGAGGTGAAAGTCAGAAAGAGAAGAGACCTTAGCTATGTACAGAGAAAAAAACAAGTTTGAAAAATTTTGCTGTGTGTATCTGAGCCCAAGAACAAAAGAGGATCATAGTTCTAACCTTTAGCCCATCACATAAGCTTACAGTTGGAATACCCAGGGTAGGAAAAGAACGTGAAAGGAACGTCAGGCAGTTCAGTAACTCTGAATCTACAGAACCCACCAGAAGACTAGTAGTAACTGAGTCCAGCATCAGTCTACTGAAAAGCAACCACACACAATTCCAAAAGATACAAAGAGATATAAACTCAATGACAATTCTGAGAAGAGTTAAAGAAAGAGGCTAAAGAAAAAAGAGCAAAATTATTTTTAATCATATAAAAGCACAGAGCAAAAATAGGAAAAATAATGAGTGCTATAAAAAAGTTATGAAAAAGAGAATTAACAGCTTGGTAAAGGAGGTTAAAACTATTGCTGAAGAAAATAATTCCTTAAAAATTAGAATTGGCCAAATGGAAGTAAATGACTCCATGAGACATTAAGAAATAATAAAATGAAATCAAAAGCATGAAGAAGTAAAAGAAAATGTTGAATACTTCTTAAGAAAAAGAATTGTCGAGAAAAATAGATCTAGGGGAGAGAATTTAAGAATCATCGTATTACCTACAATATCCATGAACAAACATCATATTTCAAAAAATGTAAAAGAAAACAGTCCAGATATCTTAGAACCAGAGAGCAAAGTAGAAATCAGAAGAATTCACTGGTCATCTCCTAAAAGAAATCCCAAAATGAAAACTGCTAGGAATATTATAGCCAAAATCCAAAACATCTAAGTCAAGGAAAAAATACTGCAATTAGCCAGAAAGAAATAATTCAAACATAAAGAAGCCACAATCAGGATCACAGAGGCTTCAGCAGCCATCACTGTAAAAGACAGGAGAGGCATTTCTGATATTCCAGAAGGAAAGATTCAGGATTACATCGAAGATAACCCATCCAGCAAAAATGCATATTATCCTGTGGGAGGAGGGGGAGTAAAGAATGGACATTTATTGAATTATGACAATGTCAAGTGTTCGTAACAAAAAGATGAGAAAATCAAGTACTGTTAAAATAAGACATAATTACAAATAAAACAATAAGATGGATGGTAGAGATAATTCTAATCCATTCAAACATTGAACTGATATACCAAGTCAGAGTTGGTTATCCATGAACTCAAGCCCTTGGGTTGTTGTTGTTATTCAGTTGTTTTCATTCATGCCCCACTCTGTGATGATATTTGGGGTTCTCCTGGTAAAGATATTTGAGTGTTTTTGTCATATTCTTCTCCAGCTCATTTTATAGATGAGGAAACTGAGGAAAACAGCATTAAGTGACTTGCCCAGGGTCACACAACCAGTAAGAGTTTGAGGTCAGATTCACTCTCAAGAAGATGTGCTGCCTAGCTGCCCCAAGCCCATATGCTTCATGATAATCACTTAACAGAATATCTATTCCAGTTTAAGATCCAAAACAATGGAAGAGGAGGAAAATCTTATAATAGCAGCTTCCCCAGTAGGATCAGGAATTGACCTCCATTAGCACCCAACAAAGTATAACTCATTGAGACTGTCTGAGGGATATACTCACAACCCTGAACTCATTTTTCTCAGCTACTCCTCAGAGGGCTGTGCTGGTAAGATGTCCCATCTTGAAATCTAAGGGCAAAGAAGCTTGAGATACAAGTGAGATCGATTGAAAGGAGACCCATTTTGCTATAAAACCTGTATGCCTTAAAGAAATAAATAGTATTCACACTTAAACTCAGAAAGATTAAAAAGTGTTTTCTGGCTCATGAAGAAGTTCCCTTGTTAAAGTACCGATATTACATAAGACCTTGAACTTTTGTGAACGAGGGACTTTGATGATACCAGCTTAGTTTTTATCTTTAACATGAAAGCTATGGAATGTATGAACTTCTTGCCAAATTGAGCAAGACCATATTTTGGGTAGGACTAACTATGGGTATTTGGATAAAGAATTTAGAAATATTAGTTACATTTTAACCTCCTTATTGTTGATATAAAGGGGAACTCTTGATGGAAAGAACCAAGCAGTTCAGAAAGCAAGAATAACCATGGAGTCTGAGAACTGGGTTTCAGCTCTTTTGCTGCTGCAGCTCTGTTGCTTTAGCTGTGGATCCTGTGGGAAGGTCCTGGTATGGCCTATGGAATATAGTCACTGGCTCAATCTGAAGGTCCTGCTGGATGGAGTCATACAGAGGGGCCATGAGGTGACTGTGCTGACACCCTCTGCTACTGTTTTTGTTGATCCTAGTAATTCATCAGGTTTGCATGTTGAAGTTTTTCCTGTGGTGACAAATCCAGAGGATTTAGCTTTATTTTTTGAAAACTTTGTCACAGTTTGGAGTAATGAATTGCAAAACCTTTCGGCATTAGAGTATGGTGCATTTGTGCAAAACTTATTTTATCAGTATTCAAGGCTTATAAAACAGCTGTGTGAGAGCGCTGTTTTGAACAAAGACCTTATGAAGACATTGAAACAAGCCAAGTATGAAGTTGTTATTTCAGATGCTATATGTCCTTGTGGTGAGCTTATAGCAGAAATACTTGGAATACCCTTTGTCTATAGTCTGCGCTTCAGCCTGGGCAATACCCTTGAAAAATACTGTGGAGGACTCCCATCCCCTCCTTCCTATGTGCCTGTAGCCATGTCAGTGTTGACTGACAGGATGACATTTAAGGAGCGGGTGAAAAATATGCTTTTCTTCATTTATTATGACTTTTGGTTTCAGAATTTTAACATGAAGGATTGGGATCAGTTTTACAGTGATGTGTTAGGTAAGTCTGTGGACACTTTATAATTTATGTGTCAAACCTGTTCAGCAATTCCCTGACATTCTTATGCATCTCAGTGTGAACAGGAGTGTAATGTCATGAAAAAGTGAGTTGTTTTTTTTTTTTTGCAATCAGGTACACAAAGTTTTGTGACAAAATGATTGGCTTATCCATAAAACATGAAAACTGGATCTAACAATGGGCTGAGGTTTGAATCTTTAGTCAAAATGGAAAAGCAGGTTAATAAGCATAATGAGTCAATGAACAAGTGTGAAAGCATTGATTAAGCACCTATTACATGCAAAACACTGTGCTATGTTCTGGGGTTTAAATAGAAAATCAAGATAGCCCCTTGCTCTCCAGGAGCATTTTAGTGGGGGAGGCAATGCACATGGGAAGTTTCAGTTGTAAGTCCAACAGAGAGGCCTCGTGGTCATAGTGAGATGGAGGGGTGGGGCGAATACCGCAAAGCAGATGATAATGTATCCTCCTTAGTGTTCTTACTAGTGATACAAAACACATTCATATCTGATACGGAACAATGTGACAGAACTTTGCTGGTGACAACTGACTTTTTGAGGTCCTTAGTAGCTGTGGCCATTGAGGAGGCAGTGATAAGAGTTCCTGCAGAAGCAGTCACAGGTTGATTATTGGTATTGTCGCGTCATTTCAGTCTTGACTTGGCCCTATTTGGGATTTTCTTGGCCTGAATATTAGTGTGATATGCCATTTCTTTCTTCAGTTCATTTTACACATGAGGAAACCGATTAATGACTTGCCCAGGGTCACACATCTAGTAAATGTCTGGACTAGATTTGAACTCAGTAGAATGCGTCTTTCTGACTCCAGGTCTGGCACTCTATCCACTTGGCACCTATGTGCCTCTCATCATTAGGTTGCATGTCCACAATGATTGATTTCCTGGACAATGGGGGTGGGAATTGAGCCAGAAGCAGGAGCAGTGGTGGGAGATGCATTACTGCTCCTTCAGATCTTGGGTACTTCTGTCTGTTGATGGCAATTGAGCTTCCAGTAATATTTAGAGAATGGAGAGGAGAAATAAATCAAGCAGTGATTGATCACAGCTGATTTTAATAAGAAAAGGTATCTAACTTTTGCCCCTGAAGCAAGTGTGTGTGGGATATGGTAGAAAGTTAGGGGGAAGGGACCAATGGAGAAATCTCACTTCCAAGATCCTTCTTAGATTAATTCAGGCTACAGTGATCTCACTTCTCTCTGAGGTAGAGGATTTGTTTATCCTGATCATTCATTTTAAGCTATTCTTCATTTATTTAGTTGGTTACTTAGTTTACTCCACGTGTCTTGTCTAGCCACTATAGTCTTTTCAGGCAGAAGTTATGTACAGAAGTTATGTACCTTTTATTTCAAGCAGCTAGGGGGCAGAGTGGATGAGAGTGCTTGGCCTGGAGTCAGGAAGACTTGAGTTCAAATCCAGCCTCAGACCTTTAGTAGCTCTCTGATCCTGGACAACTCACTTAACCTCTGTCCCTCGGTTTCCTCATCTATACAATGAGGATAGTAGGAGCACCTAACCTCATCGCAAAATTATTGTTTATGATCAAATGGGATAATAAGTGTAAGCACTTAGCCAGCCCCTGGCACAAGGTACAGCTAAAAACGGTGTTGTGGCTTTCCTAAGTATATAGTAGCATGCTGACAGGAGTTGTTCTTCTAGATTAAATACTTCTGGAATTGAAAATGATTTAGCTAACAGTTCTTTATGAAAGGATACAAAAGCAATATAGAAGATTTGGCAAACTAATAGATAAGTTTAAACTGCATACAGCTACTTTTTTATACCCCTTGGTATTAAAAAGTCATGTCCTACAGAAAGTCTTTTCTGACACTCTCAGTTATCTGTGATGTTCCCAAACTTTTGCATAAATTGCGTTTCATTATGTATATGTGTACGTGTGTGTGTTTCGTATGTGCATGTATATATACATATATATGTGTATTGTATGTGTGTATACATATATAGGTATATATATATATATGTACATATATGTGTGTATATATGTGTATTATCACAAATATACAAATGTATACCCCCACCTGTGGGAAGCATCATCCTCCTCTACCTGCATTGTCTCTTGGGAGGGCTAAGGGATTAGGTTCATAGCTTAGCTCAGCTCCTATAGAAGATGATTCCAGTTTGAAATCCAAAATTCCCCTAAGACTCTTGCCCCAGGAATTCTGGCTTCTCAGGGTTTCCATGCTAGCCTGACTGGCTGCATCGCACCACCCTCCTGCAATTCTGGTACCAAGGTCACCATGGCTTACGCTGTTCCCAGCACCTGAAGACAAATAAAAGAGTGCAGAAAACACAGCAGGCCCATTTCTGGAGCAGAGGTAAAAGAGTAGGAACAAGGGAGGATTTTCCTACCCTTCTCACTGGTGCAGTTCATTGGTTCAGTTCATGGGGTCCATGTTGGGTAGAGCAGAGAGGGAGTCACCAAAAAGGGCTAAGCTGAACAATGGTGGCAAGCAGCAGCTGAAAAGAGCAATTGGCTTGGTCTTGCCAGTTTTAAAGACATAGACAGCCATTCAAAGGAAGCTATCCTTCCTCTGTGGTAGGGGATACATCTAGCTTAGAACACATTAGAGGAATTGGAAATGCTCAAAAGGCCTCTCTTAAGGGAGTTTCCACCTCCGTAGTAGAACTGAACATGCCCAGAGAAGCCTGGGTGACATAGTATTATCTAGGTTTTTATTGCACTTTTATTTGTTTTATTTAATATTTTGTAAATATATTTTAAACTGGTTCAGATGGTACCTGCTAGGACTGTGAGCTTCATGTTGCCCATCATGTTTGACACCTCTGGTCGACATTATTGAGTGTGGAAAGGGCAAGAACATGTAACAAGTTTTGAAAGAGATGATAGAGCCAAGTTGTGAGGTCTTTAAAAGCCAAAAAGAGGAGTATATATTTTATTTGCAAAGCTGGTAAGGGCGGCTGGCATTTACTGAGTTCAGCGGTGACATGATCAGGTCTTTGCTTAAGGAAATCAAATTTGGCAGCCATGTGGGCTGCATTAGAATGAGAGAGAGACTGGTAGGAAAGAGAGATCAGTTAGGGTCATTGCAATAGCTGAGATGAGAGCTGATGAGGGCCTGAGCTGAAATAGTGACTGTGTGAAAAGAGAGAATTGGTGTAAGGGAATTTGGGAGAAGAGAGAATGAGGGAGATTCAAGAGATGCTGTGCAGATAGAAAAAGCAAGATCTGATACAGGCAATGGGGTATAGAATTCTATCTTGCCCTACAGGAAAATAAAAGGGGAACAGGATAACAGAAGAGGGGAGATAGAAGGGAGTGCAGATTAAGGAAAGGGGTATTCAGGATGCATAAGGATTTTGGAGTATGGGGAGGGGCAAGATAGGGAGTGACAAGATGGGGAGAAAATGTGGAGCTCAAAATCTTGTGGAAGTCAATGTTGAAAACCAAAAATAAATAAAGAATAAGAAAAAGAAAAAGAAAAAGCAAGATCTTGCAACTGATTGGATATGTGAGTGTGGAGGTGAAGGAGACCAAGGAGTAGAGAATGATACTGAGGTTGTAAAGGAAGGAGACAGGAAGAATGGGAGGTTTCCTTGGTCTAAAAGTGCAATTGGTGAGAACTTCCTTTAGAAATTAATCTTCTACTTGTGTCTTGGCTTGCCTGTGTGTCTTCATCTGGCATGCACAAAGAGCAGTAGTGTATCAGAAGGCATCAGGCTCAGGCACTATGACTGAAAAGTGGGTGTCTATTCTGCTGCTGCTGCAGCTCTGCTGTTTTGGATTTGGGTCCTGTGGGAAGGTCCTGGTGTGGCCACTGGAACATAGCCACTGGCTTAATATGATGGCAATTCTTGAAGAGCTGGCACAAAGGGGTCACTTGGTGACTGTGTTAGTGTCTTCTGATATGTTTCTCACTGGTTCCACTGACTCTTCAGGGCTGAACTATGACGTTTTTCCTGTACCGCAAATAAAAGAACTGGTGGACAACTTGGATATTTTTTTGAGCGTGATGATTAACAAAAACCCCACTTTTTCACACTGGGAAAAACTGGGAATTTCAAGAATCTTTCAGCACTTATTTTCCTGTTGTAAAATCAAGGTGTGAAAATGTAATCTTCAACCAGATGCTCATGGAGAAGCTGCAACAAACTGGCTATGATGTGCTGTTAGCAGATGCTGCATTTCCATGTGGAGATCTGATAGCGGAGGTGCTTGAAATCCCTTTCATAAATAGTCTCCGGTGGAGCATGAGGAATGCCTATGAGAAATGCTGTGGGGGACTTCCTTCTCCTCTTTCCTATGTGCCCATGCCCATGGGCAGACTGACTGACAAGATGACCTTCATGGAAAGAGTGGAGAATATACAACTATCACTCTTCTTTGACTAGTTCTGATTCCATCCATTTGAGACAAAGTGGAAGCAATTTTACAGTGAGGTGTTAGGTAAGATGGGTTTTTTCAGGAGTGTTGTAGACTGTCATTTTATTTTCAGTTTTGTCTGCTGAGCTGATTGTCATGGACTTCACTACACTAGCTTAAGATTTTCTCCTTTGTAGATCATAAAGAGACCCGGGAAAGCTTCAGGTAAAGTGTTAGCGTAAAAAGCAAGTATATATCTGCCTAGAGTATAAAGCATAAAGAAGACTGCATTCAATGTAGTACCTCCATCTAGAGTGACTAGGATACTATATTAGTAAAAACTAATCTTCATGTAGCAATAATTAATAATTTTCATTGGAAAAACAATGATCAAAATCCATTTTCTTATTGTTATGTGTTGCTTGTATTTTACAACTTGTGATCCATCTTCAGGACTCTTGAATGTCTTCTGTTCTGCTCCTGTTATCCTATGTCTCCAATTTGTGTCTGCCAGCAACTCTTAAGGCTTGGGTGACTGGGTCTCCCAGTTAGTTTCTCATTGCTAGTAATCCCCTCTTGCAATCTAGAATTCCTTTCTACTGGGCTTTGCCTATATCAGATGAGAGAATATTTATTACTCCTTCTAATTTCAGCAACCTAGGTGTATAAAATCAGCATGGAAACCTTTAGCTTTTTTGTATAAGGATTTTTTTTAGAGTCTACTAGGCTTTTTTGTTTGAAGGTTTGAGTTACAATTTCTATCCCATCCTTCCTCGCTCTCCTACCCCTTTCCTGAGACAGAAAGCAATAAG